CTATTTATGTATAAATGTATGTGTCTATGAACGTATCTATGTATGTGTCTATGAATGTATCTTTTTATGTATCTATTTATGTATCTATTTATGTATGTGTCAACGAATGTATCTATTTATGTATGTATGTATCTATGAATGTATCTATTTATGTATCTATGTATGTATCTATGTATGTATCTATGAATGTATCTATTTATGTATCTATGAATGTATCTATGAATGTATCTATGAATGTACGTATGTATGTATCTATGTATGTATCTATGGATGTGTCTATGAATGTATCTATTTATGTATGTATGTATGTGTCTATGAATGTATCTAATTATGTATCTATTTATGTATCTATTGATGTGTCTATGAATGTATGTATTTATGTATCTATTTATGTATCTATGTATGTCTCTATGCATGATATATCTATGTATCTATGTATGTGTCTATGAATGTATCTATTTATGTATCTATGTATGTATCTATGAATGTATCTATTTATGTATCTATGTATGTGTTAATTCATGTATCTATTTATGTATCTATGAATGTGTCTCTGAATGTATCTATTTATGTATCTATTTATGTATCTATGTATGTGTCTATGAATGTATGTATTTATGTGTATGAATGTATCTATATAAGTATCTATGAAGGTATCTATTTATGTATCTATGTATGTGTCTATGAATGTATCTATTTATGTATCTATGAATGTATCTATTTATGTATCTATTTATGTATCGATTTATGTATATATGCATGTGTCTATGAATGTATCTATTTAAGTATCTATGAATATATCTATTTATGCATCTATTTATGTATCTATGTATGTGTCTATGAATGGATCTATTTATGTATCTATGTATGTATCTATGAATGTATCTATTTATGTATCTATGTATGTGTCTATGAATGTATCTATTTATGTGTCTATTTATGTATCTATGAATGTATCTATTTATGTATCTATGTATGTGTCTATGAATGTATCTATTTATGTGTCTATGTATGTATCTATGAATGTATCTATTTATGTATATATGTATGTGTCTATGAACGTATCTATTTATATATCTATGAATGTATCTATTTATGTATCTTTGAATGTATCTATTTATGTATCTATGAATGTATCTTTTTATGTATCTATGAATGTATCTATGAATGTATCTATTTATGTATCTATGTATGTTTACGAATGTATCTATTTATGTATCTATGAATGTATCAATTTATGTATCTATGCATGTGTCTATGAATGTATCTATCTATGTATCTATTTATGTATCTATGAATATGTATATTTATGTATCTATGTATGTGTCTATGAATGTATCTATTTATGTATCTGTATAACAATCTATGTACACATCTATGTGTATATGCATGGATGAACCTATGCATGTATCTATAAATGTAGCTATGTATGTAGCTTGTATGTATCGATGTATGTAACTATGTATGTATCTATGGTTGTATATACGTATGAATCTATGTATGTATCCATGTATTTATCGTTGTATTTATTTTTGCCAATATATGTATTGATTTATGTATATACTGTGGATGTAGGTATGTCGTATGGATGGATGTAGGGATGTATGTACGTATGTATGTATGCATGCGTGTACGTATGAGTCTATGCGACTTTTGCATGTATCTATATATTTATATTATGGATGCATCTTTGCATATATCTATGTGTATATCGATCTATGTATCTATGGATGGATCTATGTATATATCGATCTATGTATCTATGGATGGATCTATGTAGGTATCGCCGTACCAATAAGTAACACCAGATACACTGAACACACACATACACCAGCAGTTAGTGTGGTCGTATTAATTAAGTCGTATTGTCCTACACATACAAACTATGCTAAGCACCGATTGTTGTAGTGAACGTCTTACCTTGGCAAACGACAGCAGCTAGTTAAACAACCAAAGGGTCAGGCATATATAAAAAAATAACTAAACAAACATAGCAGCATGTATCTGACTCAATGCCACACAGAAGCATTGAAAGAAATTAGTCTGTTCGTGTCAAAATACTTCTGCACCTGCAACGCTTGCCTGGCTATGTTAATCATACCAGTGATAGGCTATACATGCATACACTTGCTCATACACTATGCTGCAGTGACATGGACGCTGCAAAGCTATAACGAGTGCGGCAATTCGATCGATGAAAGTGCCGATTCACACATCACAATTAATAGACATGTAGAGGCAATTGTTGCTGAAACAGATGCCATCTGCAATGCTCATCCTCGCTCACGAGTGTGGTATATACCTGTTGTGCCACCAGCTCGCAGAGAATGGGCAGAGGTTAGTGTATATGACCGGGTTTTGTTCTTTAGAATGAAGAGTATTGACCTGAGAGAAGTAAGACCACCCCGATGCATCGAAACCATTATCGTCTCAATATTAACATATATCAAGAGTATAAGCGGCAAACAAGGGAAGAGACAAAATACAAGCGACAATATATACACAAATATGAAATACACACTGACGACATGTTTGTAAAATAGACATTCTGTAGATTTACGCGTCTATTTAGGGTTATAAACATGTAGGGTTTAACTTTCGATAAATGTATTCAGCCTCCTATAAATAAATAGAACAGTTCTA